AACTCTATCCCAGCCGAAACCAGGACAACAGGTACTGCAGGGCTGCCTGAAACTATGGCAAATATGGGATCAAGGGTTTCATTTGGTGGTGCAGCAGCTCTTGGCTTGGATGTGTTTCAGTAGTGTATCTGCACAGACCTATCCAAATGTGAATGCAGACTTTGAGCCGTTCATGCAGTCTGTGCTGTTTCACTTGCAGGGGGAGGGTTTTGATGCTAGCGGAGACATGCTGCTTTTACCAACGAAGACAATTTGATATCAAGATGGGTTTATGGAGATTGGATGCTGATTTTTTTAAATTCTTTAGAAATTTTAGGAATAACAGATCAAAACCAACTTGTTAGACCTAAATTTGTTACACAGTTTAACAAGGAAACTCCAATTTTTATTCCTTCTTTAGACTGCTGTTAAAGGGCTGGAGGAAAACCTTAAATAGTCACCCCAGTTTTGCAAATAAAAGAATATCTTGAAATCTTCCTTGACAAAAGTTTGAATCCACCTCCACACTCTAATTTGATAATGTTAGATACAAGCCACACCACAAAACTTTGCTGGCAGAATATTTCAGCTGCTTTGTGAATAAAAATACTGCCCTTTAAAATGATTGAGTCTTTCTCTCTGTGGCTTTCACACCTTTATGCTATTGACCTTTCCTTTCCACTGTGGCTTTTTTGTTATTATTATATGGTTAGATATGAAAATATTTTCAATCTGATAAGTTCATTTGGCTGTATAATCATTCTCCAGCCCCCTGGGGTGAGATGGTTGCGCTTACTTCTCCAGTCAAATTAATCTTTTGCAGCAGTGACAAGCCGCATGACAGCAACTGGGTTGCCTGGAGTTCCTTGATGTCTTCCTCACGTGCACACACCCAGAGTAACCCAGGCTCCTAAAGAGTTGAATGCCCACAAACTCAGAGGCCCTGGAGACACCAGGACTGCAGGCATGCTGGAATTGGGCAGTGGGCTAGGACTTCTTTCTGCCTTGAGATATAGGATGAGGGCAAAATCCTTGGCTGCACAGGAGAGCTGGGAGTTCAAGCACAACCTGAGCATGCAGAACTACCAAGGACTTAAAGGAGGCAGCAGGGAATACAACCACCTTCATGGCCTGGTCCTTACCAATGTTGTCCCTCAATAGAGCCTAGTCCTTCACCCTCTTTCTAGGAGGGCAGGCAAGGAACCTGTCCTTCTCACGTGGAGGTGGTCAGCCAAGTGCCAACCTGCTCCTGCAACCCCAGCACCCACCACTGGCAGACAGAGAACCGAAACTCACTTTGGGATAGAAGAGCTGCACAAAGGGAGGCTGTACCCATCCGCACCACAGTGCCCAGCAGTGTCGGCCCTTTGATTCATGATGCCAGCTTGCTCCCACGAGGTGAAGCAGAGCAGGGTCTGGAAGAGATCAGCCCTGCTGCTGGCACTTCACAGATGGACAAAGCAAACAATCAAAGCGAGCTGGAAGAGCCGCCGGAGGCATGCGTCTCAAGGCACAAGGAAAACAGGGAACCAAAAGCAGGTTTCCCCAGGTCACCTGGGGATGTGCCACCGTGTTACAGCACCTGCAGCGAAGAGCTTAGACCAGCTGAGAATCAAGAGAAACTGAATACTTAGCCACTTTCAGCCTGCATTACAAATTTCATAGGTTTTAAAGTCAGAAAGGACAATTCCTGTTAACTTGACCTTCTGTAATATAGAGGTCTGGGAATTTCCTCCGGCAGGACTTGCTCTTAAGAGTACAGCTTGCAGATAAACCGAGATACCTTTTGCAAGACAGCCAGCCTTAATTTGAAAACCTCACACAATAGAGAATCCACAACAACTTTTAACATTTTGTTCCAGAGACAAATTACTCTCCCTGTCAAGCATGAATAGTTTAAATCATAGATTTATTTCTTCCTACAAAGTAAGTATATTTCAATAGCTTGACAACTGGATTTCATCTGACCTAAAACCCGGATGACTATATTTGGCCAGATGAGTCTTACCTCTGCAGTGACTCCAAAAGGAAGGCATTAAATACAAGATGATTCATTGCCTTTGAAATTTAGGGTTTGAGAAAAAAGAAAAAAAATCTTTTAGTTTGCATGGGCCTGCCAGATGAACAATGCCCAGAAGCTCTCCCAAGGCAGCGACATTGAAAACAAGCAGAACCACAACTTGCAGCAATTTAAGGGTGCCTGCTGCCAGGGAAAATGCCATCTGCAGTTAACTCCATCCTTCCCTCACCACACTTTAATAACACTTCTAGAGCTCTTGAAATCTGGTATATCAAACTGTCCTGTGAACTGCCCTCCTTACATAGTTAGCAAAGAGCTGCCCTGGTCATGTCTCAATATGGGCCAGACCCTTCTGGAAGGTGAGGCTAAATTCTCCACAGCTCCCCCTCTGCTGACCACAGGCTGAGCCTGCCCCTTTCCACACAGTAATAGATCTACTCAGCAGTGCTTGGTGCTTCTCCAACAGATCCTAAAAATGCTGAAGTTTTACACAGCGAGAATATGGTTAAGACAAAAATTCTGACCTGAAAATGGTATTTTATTGCAGTTTTAATAAGGGTAGTAACATACAACCATTGAGGCACAAGTAAGGCAAGGGTGCATGCCAGGTGGAAGCAGGAAGGAATGCACCAAAAAAAGAAAAAACCACAAGCAAAAAAAACCCCAAACAAACCCAAAACCCGCACTTTGAATCAAAAGTCATAAGGCCTGTAGTAAGAATTTTAACACATTGATCAAGTCAGTTGAAGATACCATGTGGTAGAAGGGGAGAAAAAGGACTAACAGTCCTGAAGGGAAATGGGAATTGACCTCTGCAGCCGTGTTAGTTGATCACAGTAGTACACAAGACTTCTACACAGATTTTGAGGGATAAACTTTCAAGATAGAAATGGAATAAAGCAGCATGCTGACTGCAGATAGAACATACCAAACAGACTCAGCAACTTTCTTGCCAAAAGCCCTTTGATTTCTAGTTAGTGAATTGCAGGAAACCACATTCATCCAGACTTCACCAAATTGTTCAGTATGGCACCGTATGGGAAGTTATGAGTTATTTTAAGGCAGTATAATTAGTACAGGAAAAATACAGCAGGACACAGAGAATATAATACAGCAGCATCAGCCAGAGAGCAACAATAATAGTATTTACAGAGGGGACAGGCTGGAAGAAAGCTGTTTGTGTAATTCTTTGAGCACTGGGTTCAGGCCTGTAATACTTTTCCTTGCATGGCATAGTTAATAAAGAGAAGTGACAAGTGAAATATGCTGGGTGATGTTGGACAGTACGCTGAAAGCAGAGTAGGACTGCATATTCGGAAGAACTGCATTAACTGAAAGAATAGTAAGAGAAGTTAAATGGTACAAAGGGCAAGGGACGAATGCTGACCTCTTGTTCCTTTTGCCTAAAGAATAAAGTGCCTGACTGGAGGACATGCCCCCCCCAGTAGTCTATACCTTGGCCTTTGTACTGAGTACAGGCACCCCATCTCCTCCCACCTGCCCCAAAAGCCCAGCCCAAAAGGGAAAGGAATAAAACACAAATAGAGCATATGTAGATGTATCACCTGAAAGGGTTAATTCCATTTTGCTCTTACAGGCTGAAGAGGAAGAGGGCTTGAGGAAGCTATTGCTATAAATGACTTCCTTTCCATGGCAAAGTTTACTGACAGCTGCTTAAAAATACAACGAACACTAGCATTTTACAGTGTGGGTATCAACATTTTATTTTTTAAAAATGCAAAAAAAGTACACATTTCCAATCACTAAAATGGTGTAAAGTCACATATTTCAAGGAATTCACACATTAAAGAACAGGCTTTAAAAGCACTTCTCTAATGCAGTGGCATGGGACCTACATATTCTTTCACAACCGATACTGCTTGTTTCAAATACTCCGTAATAATATGGCATTGGGAGAGCCAGAGACCTCCTGAGATGCCAGCACTGCTAGTATAGGAGGTGCCTGAGCTCAGCCATGAGTACCAGGGATACCCCAGTAATTCTGCAAGGTAGAAAAGGAGATGCTCCAACAATACAATGCCATAATCTAAGGCCACCCCAGGAAAATCCAACAGTATCTCGAAGCTGTCAGAGAATAGGCAGTTCCCACACATCTTTAAATTAACTGATCCCCATCCCTCCTATTTAGTAACAGCTTTAAGGAGTATATTTATATATAAATCTATTTTAAAAAAACACACTATTGTGAAATTTACATGAACACACACAACTTTAGCAACACTGTGTTTCTAGTGAACTTGGCTATTAGCTGCTTGTAGTTTATATACAAAGCTGATTAATCAGAAAGGCTGCTACAGGGAGCCAAGCTTTCTTTCCAGGTTAGCCCCTGGCTCGAACAAGGATTTCCTATGTGTTATCTTCTAGGAGTTGGCAATATTAAAAATTGTGATTAGAACACCAGGATGCAGTGGCTTGTAAACATTTTGTCTTAATATTAAAATCCAGTGCATTCTGACTTTCTGCTCTGACATTATGGATCAGCTGATTGATACAATGTTCTAGGATTTCATGGGAGATATAAAAAGTTTGGCCAATAAAAATCCTTTAGACAAGTTCATTCCTGGTGCCAAGTTACTGACTCTAGAGCAACACCAAGTATGAATTTGATCCACAGTAGAATCACAAGCAAATTTTTTTCTGGGATGTAGGAATTTCCATTCCATGCTGACAAAACAATTTTAGTTTTACAAAATCCCCACTCTACAGATGAGGACGCAGGTTTGGAGGGAAGCAGTTTGCCAAGCCCACAGGCAAGGCCAGCAAGACAGCCCAAAAGAGTTCCAGATTCCTGAACAACTGGCCCATATTGGAGATGTTGGACAGCAATGCTCACTTCTCTCCTGACTCCTGCAGTCCTCAACCCCCTTCTA